AATAAAAATAAACAAAAAATGTATTTTTATCAAACTTGCCCGGGCGGGCCAGTGAGTAATGTGGGCGGGCCAGTGCCGCCCTGGCCCATTACTGGCTACGCCCCTGATGCAGAATCTAATTCATGATTTAATTCATTCGAAGGCTTAATGTATTTGATCCAAAATAAGCAAAAACAGTAATATTGTGAAATATTTTTACAATTTAAAATAACTGTTTTCTATTTGAATATATTTTAAAATGTAATTTATTTCTGTGGTCAAAGCTGAATTTTCAGCATCTTTAGTTCAGTACTCTGCAGTGTCACATGATCCTTCAGAAATGCTTTTCACTGCAACTGTACTTTTCACACTATTTTATCATTGTTTTCATTGCTGGCTTATTTTATGGGAAGTTTAGTGAATAAGAGACCTTCAACAGACCAACATTGGTCCTCCACAGTATCAGGTTTTTGCCATCAACTGCAACTGTGGAGAGATCCTTTTCCAAAATGAGGTTAATTAAGAACCAACTCCGAAGCCTTTGCTCAGAGGAGAGACTCTCAGACCTTCTCCTCATAGCCATAGAGAGGGACAGCCCAGTGGATCACAGTGAAGTCATAAACATCTTCAAGCATGGCTCACAGAAGGTTGCTGTTGTAATTAGGTTTAAAGAAGCCCTGAAACCCTGTATATCTATATTATCTATATTATTATTATTATTACGGTTATTAATAGTGAATAAATCTAAAGCTTTTGAGACTATTTTTTTTTATTGAATTTGTCATGAAGATGAGACCATTTCCTCCTTTAATGTAGGCTTACTAAATAATCTTGATATAAAAAAAGGGAGGGGGGTGCCCTTTTTTAGTTTCAGCACATGCCCCTCAAAAGGTCTGTGCACGGCCCTGGTGTGTGTATGTGCGTGTGTGTAGCCTACGTGTGAGAGAGAGAGAGAGAGAGAGAGAGTGTGTGTGTGTGTGTGTGTGTGTGTGTGTGTGTGTGTGTGTGTGTGTGTGTGTGTGTGTGTGTGTGTGTGTGATGAGTAGGTTTAGGGGTAGGGTTAGTGTGTGTGTGTGTGTGTGTGTGTGTGTGTGTGTGTGTGTGTGTGTGTGTGTGTGTGTGTGTGTGTGTGTGTGTGTGTGTTTGTTTGTTTATGTGATTTATGAGGACAGAAATGTGTATAATGACACTGGTATTACAACGTGGTGAACGCGATTTATGAGGACATTTTCTCAGTCCTCAAAATGGCCAATTCTGATGTTTGACTCTACATTCCGAAACCCTGGCTCATTCATGACGAACAGCACGTAAAGGGTCTAGCATTACCATCAAGTCTTTCCTGAATGGACTTTTTGGACTATAAAAGTAAGAATAAAACTCTTCTTCACTCTAATTGACGCGTTTTCCATCACCATTTCTTTTTTTTCCCTCAAACGCCGACGCGACCGTTTTAATGTGTTTTAATCTATATTTAATATTGAAAAACAGTAAATATAATGAATTTGAAATATATACATATTTATCAAACCCGGCCCTGCTCTCATTTAAGGTTACTTTTCTAGCTGACTATCGAGTTAATCGGGTAAGTGACGTTAAATGTGAAGGTTGAACTGATTGATGGACAAAAAGAGCGCCAAAAACGACATCGTTTGATCAATGATGAGAATCGATTGAAATCGAGAATTCACTATTTTAAGCCCAGTCCTAGTGCTAACCGAGCTTTTAAATTACAAGTGTGAAACGTTTCTTCCGCCCAGGGTTAAAAAGCGCGGTTTAGAAGGACGATAACCCGGGGGTAAAGCCCTTGTGAATGTGAGGCAGTAAATGAGTGAGTTACTGCGGTTATGATGATAAATTAATAAACAACTGTAAAGTCAGACAGCTGTCTACTGTACTCAACTGTTCATCAGTGACTCATGAGTGATTCTGAGAAATCAACGAGTTCCTTCAAGACCACTGAGGTTGTGTTTATATATGAGCGTTGTTAGGAGAAGCCCAGAACACACACACACACACACACACACACACACACACACACACACACACACACACACACACACACACACACCCTTAACCTACCCGTCACAGACAACTTTTGTGCATTTTTAATAAATAACAACGTGTTTTTAAAGTACATGTCCTCATAAATCACATTCACGATGTAATCAGTGTCATTATTACACACATTTCTGTCCTCATAAATCACATAAACACACACACACTTTACACTGTAATAAAGTCCTGACGTCACGCTGCCATGGAAACCGACCTGCATTAACACACTGACGCGGGTCCCAGCGAGACTATAATCTATATTTCTTTATTCTTTATTACACTGAGCAGTAAAACACAGAAGATCATTATCACAGAGAAATGAGACATCAGTGATGAAGCTTCAGCTGGAAAATATAAAGAGTTTTACATTTTCATAAACAGCGACTCTGTGTAAAACTCTTGGCCATTTCAAACGCCTTATTACACAATCAAAGTAATGACAAGAAAAATAAATATACAATATATCAATAACACACACATATATATATATATAAAATTACTATTATATAGTATTTTAATTTTAGTTCAAGTTTTAGGAATTTTGTTGTGCATTTTTATTATTATTTTTAAATGTCCATATATGTTTTACTATGTTTTTATTTCAATTTTAGTACATCAAGATAAACTTACAGAGAAATGTTGCACTTGCAACGAGCTGAAATATTTTTTTAACTGTTTTTTTTAAAGTGCTGTCAAATTGATTAATCACATCTAACATAAAAGTTTATAAAGTGTATAAATACACACATATTATATGTTTAGAAACTTTTATGTTAGATGCAATTAATCAATTTGACAGCGCTGTTTTGTTAAACGTGTGTTGATCCCGTGGACTGCATTGAGTAGCTCTGGATCAAACCCGCGGCCTGGCGTTGCGAGCTCATGCTGTTCGAGATCAGGACTGAGTCAGACTCTCAGAGCAGTGAAGTGTGTGTGTGTGTGTGTGTGTGTGTGTGTGTGTGTGTGTGACCAATCCTCTCACAGGTATCCGAATCCACCTACGCTAAACACACACACTCACACACACACACACACACCTGATCAGACCTGCTGAACGAGCGCAAGACACAAACAGAGCAAATGATTGACAGGCTGTTTCTTGAGAAATACTGGAGCATCACTTACAGTCAGTGTTGGGCTGGATGCGGAGCCACACACACACACACACACACACACACACACACACACGATGTACAGGCGTGTTGATCGGTCTCTGAGTTCTGATGGGGTTTATGAAAGGACTGTGTTGGTAAGACCGGAATGTTGTTAGTTCTTGTAATATTCACACAATCACAGGACGGCCTTGAGCTCCTGATGTGAACTTCCTCATACACACACACACACACACACACACACACACACACACACACACACTGCGAAAACCATGAAAACCCCAACAGTGCTGCTTGGAGAACATTTGCGCAATCTGAGACACGAGTTTGCCGGCGGGTTTATTGCGTCGGGCGTGTTGAAACGGCAGCAGAGGATCATGGGAGTTCGGCAGACTGACGCATGTTAATATCTCACACACAGATATAAAGTCGTCATACGCTGATATGGGTTTATGATTATCTATAAGAGATAACTTGTGCGTCTGTGAATGGAGCACTAGTCAGTGATCAGTAAACAGACACACACACACACACACACACACCTGCGTTTATGAGCTTTTATGACAGACAGCAGGTGCTCCATGAAATCAGCAAACATGGGCTTCTGAACACACACTTCCTGTAGAGAAACACACACTTGAAACACACACTTCCTGCAGAGATGGTAAACACTGACGATCAGGCTTCACCTATTAAGGTGCAGTATCTAATGTGTGTGTGAGTGAGTGAGAGTCAGAGTGTGTGTGTGTGAGAGAGAAAGAGAGTCAGTGTGTGTCTGAGAGTCAGTGTGTGTGTATCAGATGCATCAGCAAAGGGAATTCCACCATAACACACACACACACACACACACACTCCAAGTCTTAGCTAAGTTACTGTTTGAACACACACATTAATCAGTGTGTGTTTAGGGTGGAGTCACATTATCAATGTTGAGGAACTCTGGAATTCCTCTTTCGGTTCTGAACATGCTGACACGCGCAGGCCTGCGTTCGCAGAAGTGTGTGTGTGTGTGTAAGTGAGTGTGTGTGTGTGTGTGTGTGTGTTCATTAGCAGCATCACAGGACGTGGGAAGACCCGAGATCTTTGACACGGACACTGTGAGCTTCTCACCATCTTCACACTCGCACCGTCACTGTGAAACATCTCGCTGAGTCCTGTCACACACACACACACACACACACACACACACACACACACACACACACACACACACACACAGGAGATGGTGAAACGACTGAACTCACTGCAACACTACCGAGTCTCAGCTAATGAATCTTAATGAAGGAACTGTGTGAATATTTAAAGGCTTTTGTTGATGTTTTACTGCTTTTGTTCTAATATAATATTTGCTAAACTACAAAACAGTTTTTCAAAATTATAATAAAATATTCCCAGTGTGTGTGTGTGTGTGTGTGTCAGTCTCAGCAGAAGTGAATGACGCAGTTTCGGGTTCTGATGGTTCTGGCGCCACCAGCTGTTCAAGCTCAGAAACACACACTCACACAGCGTTAGACAAACTCCCATCTTTAATGTTACAGTAGAAATGAAGGCCAGTGTTTCTTCCAGAGCTCGAGTGTGTGTGTGTGTGTGTGTGTGTGTGTGTGTGTATGAGTGAGTGAGTGTGAGTGTGAGTGAGTGTGTGTGAGTGTGAGTGTGTGTGTGTGTGTGTGTGTGTGTGTGTGTGTGTGTGTGTGTGTGTGTGTGTGTGTGTGTGTGTGTGTGTGTGTGTGTGTGTGTGAGTGAGTGTGAGTGTGAGTGTGAGTGAGTGTGTGTGAGTGTGAGTGAGTGAGTGTGTGTGTGTGTGTGTGAGTGAGTGTGAGTGTGAGTGTGAGAGAGAGTGTGTGAGTGTGAGTGTGTGTGAGTGTGTGAGTGTGTGTGAGTGTGTGAGTGTGTGTGTGTGTGTGTGTGTGTGTGTGTGTGTGCTCATGTGTAGAGGTTACTCTGAACCGCACACACTCCTGTGATCTTCTGCAGAACTTCAGCTCCGGGACTCTGACCCAGCTGGAATGAAGAGAGAGAGAGTCAGTGTAGAGAGTTGTCACACACACCTTCAGCACCACACACACACACACACACACACACACACTCACCTTCAGCACTGCGCTCACTGTCTCTCGGTACGCCTCCATGCTGAGGGAGTCTGGCTGAGGGACGTCACTGTAGAGCTGATAGAGAACGGCCGGGATCCGCTGCACCTCACAGTGGGTTAGCACTGTACACACACACACACACACACACACACACACACAACATCATGATCACACACACACACTGCACATCATGATCACACACACACACACACACATACTGGTACGGGTGGTTTATAAAGACTTTTCCCCCTAAAAAGTTCCATCCTGGTTTATGGGGACCCACCTTTCCCTTTGTCATAGAGATTAATAATAAATATTAAACTGCTCCTTATGGCATGGGGTAAAAATCTGACTGCTCAGAATTTAATTCTAATGAAACAGTCTGGTAATATGAAGACCTGACAAACTAAAGCACTGTAAGGACAGGGCAGGAGTGGGCGTTTCCTGATTTAATTATGATTTATGAGGACTACCCTGGTTTATCTGGACATCACTCACATACATACACACACACACACCTGACCCTTAATTATGAGGACAACCCCGGTTTATCTGGACATCTCACACATACACACACACACCTAACCCTTAATTATGAGGACTAACCTGGTATAACCTGGACTAACTTTACCCATGAGAGTGCCACATCACTTAAGTTTGTTTCAATACCAGCATATAGAAAAACAAAACAAGAAATTATCAGCAATTGTTCAACCTGGCTTAAACTTTAAGAGAGATTTCAGAAAACTAACCTGAGTTTGTAATGTGAGATTTAGCAGGTGTGAAGTGAGTGAAGAGCAAAGAGAGAAGAAGGAAAGTGAAATACGGAAATATTTTAGCTTTAAAAATTAAGAAATTAAAAAACCAAAAGGAGAGTTTACTATTTAACCATCACTGACAAATGCATTCACCCACAAATATTTTTCATAATTGAACCTTGAATGTCAGTCTTAATTTATTCATTAGATTAAGAAGTTTTGTCTAAAGATAGTTTTGAATAAAGCTAAATATTTCCAGTTGATTGGGTTTGGGTTTTGTTAAAGGTGACCTATAATTCAAAATTGAATTTACCTTGGTATAGTCAAATAACAAGAGTTCAGTGCATGGACATGACATAGAGTGAATCTCAAACTGGACTGTTTTCGCGTTCTCATTTAATTCACGTTTATGAAAAACACCCCTGAAAAACGGTCGGTTCTCCACACAATACCGACTGTGACGCAATAGTCGGGATCATTAATATGTACGCCTCCAAATATTTGCATAATGCCAGGCGGAACTGCCCAGCCGAAGCATGGCAGTTGCTCAGTGTGGATGTACACATGAACACAAAAGTATTTTTTAGCTCCTTTATCTGAGCCTCTGAAGAAACAATGGGTTAATTTTATTTTCTCTGGAAATTTCCAAACATTTCACCGAGTGTTTCCTCAACTTGGGCCAATACAGAGCTGGCCTCGGATCGAGCTACCAAGCAACACTTTCTGATACGTAATTGTTCAAGTTCAGACAGGTAATCTTTCTCTCAAAATCGTTCAATACTGTTTATGCATCAGTAAGTCAAGCCAGTGACTAAAATATCAGCTTCACATCGTTTCTTTTAGTAGGATGAAAATAATCGTATTTAAATTGTGAACAAATTATATACAGAAAGAACAATCTTTCCACACAGCGCGAGTTTATCTGGACACTTGCCAAACTCGTTATGAAATCAATGACGCACGTTACTGCACAACGAAGCTCTTACTGTATTTACATCATCGTGTTTGCATTGGTGAAAGCATTAGAGAGAGTGCAGAAACTGCTTTGCAATGATAAGATCTTCACTCTCGCGATCAACACTGTCATCTGCTCAATGCTCATCACGGCAACATTTTATGTGATGGGAATAGATCTAAATACTTTAAAAACATCTCACGATTCGTTAATCTCTATAGCTGTTATAGTAAAAACGTATAATAGCAGTAGTAAAAGTATTCGGGAGAGAGTTTCACATGTAATGCGTAGCTATTTCATATGCAAGCATGTCAGCCAATCACAGCAGTGGCCGCGGTTACACTGAATCCCACAGCCAATCACAGCAGTGGCCGCGGTTACACTGAATCCCACAGAGACACGCCCCTTCAAACAGAGTGTTCAAATCAGAGGCTAAAAGCAGGCTAGGAAAAATGCCATTTATTTCTAAATTATGAATATTTTTTATCTAAAAAACATACTAACATTATAAGGGTAACCCAGGAAACATTATAAAATAATAATAAAAAACATTCAAGGGCACCTTTAATGTAAAAAGAGAAGATTGTTCAAGACTTGTTATTAGTATCTAAATGAACATTCCTGACCATTTGGGTTTAACTGGACATCAGTAACCATATGAATCATGCATACACACACACAACCCTAACTAACCCTTGATTATGGGGACATTTTGGGTTTAACTGGACCTCACTCACACACACTCTCAAACACACACAACCCTAACTAACCCTTGATTATGGGGACATTTTGGGTTTAACTGGACCTCACTCACACACACTCTCAAACACACACAAACACCTAACTAACCCTGGATTATGAGGACATTTTGGGTTTAACTGGACCTCACTCAAACACACACTCTCAAACACACACAAACACCTAACTAACCCTGGATTATGAGGACATTTTGGGTTTAACTGGACCTCACTCACACACACACACACACAACCCTAACTAACCCTTGATTATGGGGACATTTTGGGTTTAACTGGACCTCACTCACACACACTCTCAAACACACACAAACACCTAACTAACCCTTGATTATGAGGACATTTTGGGTTTAACTGGACCTCACAAACACACACAAACACCTGACTAACCCTTGATTATGAAGACAAACTGGGTTTAACTGGACCTCACTCACACACTCTCAAACACACACAAACACCTAACTAACCCTTGATTATGAGGACAAACTGGGTTTAAATGGACATCACTATTAACTCCACACATAGCAGGAGTACCTGTATTAGAGTTAACCATACTAAACCAAATCAACTATTCTACATTAAAGAGTGAATTCACAAATTATTGTGCATCTTTTTGCTGCCACTAAACCTGTAAAAGTAATACGCACACCTAAGGAAATAGTGCTACAATGTGCTGTTGCTATATCAACCAACATATACACATGTGGTGCAAAATGAACCTGGTTGGAGAAAATTCAGTGATCAAAGATCAGCAAGTTTTACACTTCATAGAAGACTAGTTAAAGGGCAATTAGATGAAGAAATGCAACTAGACAGCCAATAAAAACTAACAAAATTAAACTGAAAGGGCAATTTTTATTTTGCAAATGGTAAAAAAAGGCTCAACAACTGAGATCTAATAAGGCCATTATTAGAGATGCACAGATTGATCGGCTTGGGACCGGAATTGGCCGATTTTCACGTGATCGGCCGGTCAGTCTGACATATGCCGATTTTATACCGGTCAAACGCACTCGGGCGCAGCATGATTAACATCAGCATCACACGTGCACACGGAACGCACATGTAGAAAACCTCGTGAATTACGGCCGTTTCACACCGCAAGCGTGAGAGGCGCGTATTTTTTTCGGCGTGCATGTTAATCAGTGAATGCATCACACCGGGAGCGGGAGCAGAGCGTCAAGCAGGAGCGTCGCGTGAGCAGCAGTGAAGCGGTTTCGGCACAGAGTCTATTTTTGCTGCACTGCTCACACTCAATTAAAGTGAAAGCACACTTTTTTTGATGGGCAAAATAAATATGATTTCACACAAAAAGTGCCCAAAATGCACAGAATTTGCATGTCTAGTGTGTTTTAACAAGAACTGGAGTAGGCTATGTCAGAAAAGAAAATGAAGAAGACTCAAAAATATTTATAGAAAATTCACCCATTTAAACTTGTTTTTATTATTCAGTTTGGGTAGAAGTATATGGTGTTTTATAAAAAAAAAAAAATAGAAAATAAATATTTGTGTGTGCTGTAAAGTGGTTAGAAAAAATGAAATCGGAATCGGCTAAAATCGGTATCGGCAGGTCAAACTCGGAAAAATCGGAATCGGCCTAGAAAATTGTAATCGGTGCATCTCTAACCATTATGGGACTAAAGTGCATGAGGGAGTGTGCCTCAAAATGACCTCAGCAACACACTGGAAATAAAACCAAATTAAATTGCCTTCCAGTAAATGCATGTATTTGTACATTTCTTTCAAAACAGTGTTTTAATAAAAGTAAATAAAAGGATGTCTTGAACACTCTTCTGGCCCAACAAAACTTTAGAGAACAAAACCCACAGACATTAAAGGTTGTATCAGCGATTTCAGGCCCAAATATAAATGATCACATTCATCTAATCTTTCCTAACGATCCGCTAGCTGCCCGCTCCATAAGCATGCCGTCCAAAAACCGCGTCTCTGTAGGCAGCCTAGGCTCTGAGATCTGCACACAAAAACAATGGGTTTCACCAACCACTCAAAACCAAAATAAACAGTGTTCCAACCAATCACCGCAAAATCTCAAACCACAACACCCCCACCTTTTGTGTGCAGATCTCAGAGCCTAGGCTGCCTACAGAGACACGGTTTTTGGACGGCATGCTTATGGAGCGGGCAGCTAGCGGATCGTTAGGAAAAATTAGATGAATGTGATCATTTATATTTGGGCCTTTTTTGGGCCTGAAATCGCTGATACAACCTTTAATGGAAGGCGACACTGATCTCTCGAAGAACTCTAAGAAGATTTCTTTTTCAACATCAAACCTCGGTTCCTCACGAAATCCCTTATATTTTGGGCCATTCTTTCTCTCAGAACAGGGTCCTCTGCAGTCTTGCACTGCTCACACTCTGCCTTTGTTGCAAGGTGTCCCTTAGAAATATGGACTCTGAAATGTTTCATGACAGCATTCACTTCATTTGGGCTCCATGGCCTTTTCGCAATTCTCCTCAATTTGGTCCCTGTAAAACAAACAAACAAACAAACAAACATATACATACACATATGTATACCTATACACCTATATGTATATACATGGAATAACTTTAATATAACCAAATGTTTAAATACCTCTGGAGTTCTCAGTTTCATCCTGATTCATTTGGCTTTTTCCTGAGGGGTAAAAAGC